CAGAGTTGCTCTGCCCCAGGCTTCCTGGAATCAGCCGCTGATCAGTTTCAGCAGCAGCTGACTTGGGGACGCCTGGGTTTCTTAAGTTGAATCTGTATGTAAGTCAGAACTGGCGTCCAGATTCAGCCGTGGTTGAAACTGATCAGTTTCAGCAGCGGCTGACGCCAGTTCCGACTTACATACAGATTCCAATTAAGAACAAACGTACAGTCCCTATTTTGTACGTAACCCGGGGACTGCCTGTACTCCACTAGGCTGTGTCTAGACTGGCAAGTTTTTTGGCAAAATCAGCTGCTTTTGCGGAAAAGCTTGCCAGCTGTGTACACTGGCCGCTTGAATTTCCGCAAGAACACTGACTTTTTACTGTAAGAAATCAGTGCTTCTTACAGAAATACTATGCTGCTCCCATTCTGGCAAAAGCCCTCTTGTGCAAATCATTTGCGCAAGATAGCCGGTGTAGACAGCACAGTACTGTTTTTTGTGCAAAAAAGCCCCAATGGCTAAAATGGCGATTGGGGCTTTTTTGTGCAAAAGCGTGTCTAGATTGGCACGGACGCTTTTCCACAAAAAGTGCTTTTTTTCCGTTAAAAGCATTTGCGGAAAATCACGCCAGTCTAGATGTACCCCTAGTGGTTAATACACACCATATTTTCCTGAGAGAGGGAGGAACAGGGTAAGAGCAATTGGATGAGTATGAGGGGGTGGTTTGCACACCAAAGAGGTGGGTTGCATCGTGCCGAATATGCTGAAGCAAGTGTGTTTTGGAGCAGGAGGCACTAAGTCTGAACTTTCATGCTTCCTGGAAACTACACTGATCAGCTGTAGGTAGACAGGCCTACAGTCTCCCCGTGCTGTGGAGCTGGGAGGAATTATATGAAATTCAACAATTTCATCCTATGCTGGGTTCTACTTACATTATATTACCTTTAATTTTTAGAAAAATAAAGATTAAGTGCATATGTTTCAATAAGAAGGAATTGCAGATCAGGGAAGAGGAACAATAAGTGCATCAAAATGAAAAGAATTCTCCAAACAAAAAAAATCATTTATGCTACTTATAAAACAAATAAGTACAGTGACATAAATAGCCATTACAGATGCATATTTGAGATCCTGAAATGATTGTGAATGTTAAATCATATGAAGCCTGATCTAGCTCCCGCTAATGCAAGAGGCGGTGATGCCCACTGTTTTCAATGGCAGCTCGATCAGACCCTTGGGACACTCTGAAGTTATTCCTGTCCATATGAAAAGAGTATGGACAACAGTTGTTGCAGAGTTTCAATTTTTAAGTTACACAAAATCTGTTTCCATAAAAAAATTAGAAAATAATTTTTCCCAACAGACCAACTTATATGCATTTGTGTCCATTTTAATTATGTTAAAATGCCCAAGCTTGCAATTATGTTCCAAAATTTTTATATATACATTATGCTTACATTTCATTGTTGAATATATTTGTTCATCTGTCTCGCCTAGGCCCAGCATAATAGATGTTTTAGAAATTATATCAGGTTGGACCTTCTTAGCATGCTTCAGAACTTGGAGGGATTGCTCAAAATTGGCCCGAGGATCACGTACTTTCCTTTAAAAATATTCATATTGACCATGGGAAGAAAAACACAGATACATGAGCTAAGGGACACTGAAACAATCACAAGTGCAAAAAACTCAGGGATCTGAAATTTTAGCAACTTTCTATGGTATATGTTCCTGCAAAACCAAAGCTTTCACTTAAAAAAAAATTCCATTACTTCTCTTATTATTGATACAACCAAAGTGCTGCTGGTTGGTGAACTCAGTTTTGCAGAATATTTTCTGCACTAACCAACAGGGGCCAGATTCTCAACCTCAGTTCCATCCCCCATTATTCCATAATGCAAAAGGAATATAATTGGGTCACCGCTGACTAGTTGAGAATTCATGTACTAGAGCTGCTGTAAGGTTGACAGAGCTAGTGCTAATGCCATTCCTCACTTTACCCTGCCCGCTTTCTCCACTGTAGAAGTGTCAGGAAAGGGAAGAGGTATAATAGGGCAGAGAGGGTTAAGGAGAGGGGCAGAGGAAAGCTCTAGTGCCCTATGAAAATTCTGGACAGGCATATGGTCCCTTGGGCTGGGATTGCCTGAGAATCAAGGAGTTGTAACTGGCTCTTTGACAACAGTACTCCCTGTGCTAAGTATATTTTGGTGTGGTACACAAAGGAATCTGGTTTAAAGATTAACAGAAGTGCTAAGACACTACAGTGGTAGGGCTCATGTAAGTATCTGCTTAAGCCCCAATCCTGCAAGCTGTTCTGTACAGAACTCCACTATTTAGATTGTAAGGTCTTTGGGGCAAGGATGGTCTTTTATCAAATGTCTGTATGGGTTCTAGCAGAGTGAGGCCCTGATGTTTGTTAGGGCCTCCATGCTCTACCATAATGCAAAAAAGAGTCAACAATAGTAAAGATGAAATTGTTTTGCCTGTGTTGGGAAACAGCCCTGATTGAGCTGTGTTTGAAGTCTACATGACAATTTAGTTAGAGCCATTTAAGAACAGTCTATGCTGGGAAGTTTTAGCGTACATTAACACAGGAAAATTTAAGTATACATTAAAACCAGTTTGAGCTAATTCAGTTTACATAGTTTCACCAGCAGTATGAATATGGCCCAACCATATGTAAGCTGAATACAGCTGTAGACTTCAGAGTGTGATGATGTCACTTTGAATTTCCAAGTTATTAGGAAAAAAGGCCAGTATGTGGGCGTATGGAAAGTTGTACTGGAGACCCTCCTGGAAGAGAAAAGAACATTAGTCACTCAAAGAAATTGGGTTGGCTGAATCACTTTTTAAGGGGTATAAAACTTTTCATCTACTACTTTACTATAATAGGCAGTCCTCTGCTGGTAGAAATCATGTATAGCACCCATGGCTATCAAGGAAGGAAAGCAGATGATTCTGGAAATTTCACTGAGAAGTGTAACATAACTTTAATATGAAGACAATGGACTTGGCTCCCACTGATGGGACTGAGACATGGTGATGATAAAGAAATGTTGTGGGCTGTTGGCCAAATATTCAGTGTGTGACAAATAAAACTTCATTTTGAAAACTTAATTCCATAGTCTTGCAGAATCTGAAGCAGAGCATAGGCCATTGCATCATGAATTTTATAATCACATTGCCCCACTTTTCCATACTAAATTAAAGGCTTTTAAATATTTTGGAAAGTTCCATAATAGATTCTAAATATCCTCAGGACAAGAAAGAAAACATATCTACTATTTAATTATTATATATAATAAATAATTATTATTATATTATATCATCATCTGAGATTTGGACATGCCACTGACACAGAGTATATGAGCCTAAAACAAACTAATCATATTACAGTTTATTGATTTAGATGACTCTCTATTCTGCCATCTTTGACAGTTTTATCAGAATTATAGAAAACCAACTTACCACACTAGTGCTCACTGTAATATTTCAGACCTGGCCTTGCAATGGGGTCTGTTATTACAAATGTCAGTGGAAATCTGCACAGGAATCTATACTAGTGGGGATTGTTATAGGTTGGAAGTTAATGGAAAATCTACAATGCTCACATGCCCTACAGAATAAGAGCAAAATACAGGCAGTCCCCGGGTTACGTACAAGATAGGGACTGTAGGTTTGTTCTTAAGTTGAATTTGTATGCAAGTCGGAACTGGTACATATTGTAGGGGAAACTCTAGCCAAACATTTCTCCAGAGCTCAGTTTTATTCTCCCACACCTCACTTCCCTCAGTCCTTTATTCTCAAGCTGAGATGTCTGCTGAGAAAAGCCGCTCCGCGTCTCCCTGGTCTGCTGGGGGGAAGCAGCTAGTGCGGGGTTGCCTCACCCCGTTTGTAAGTAGGGATCCGATGTAAGTCGGATCCATGTAACCCGGGGACTGCCTGTATACTAAGCAGTACAAGAACTGAAATAGAACAAAACATTCTTTGAATTTAGGGCAATCAACATAATTAATAATTATGCAGCCAGGTATATCTGAACACATATTTAAAACATGTATAGGGATTGGCTTACCACGTACATTTTCTTTCCTTCCAAAAAGAGGTTCAACGTGCATGTGAAAATGAAAATAACTATTTTTGTCTTAATGTAATTACATGTATCTTTCTTGTATACTATCTTTTGTACAAAATAGACCTCGCCTACCTTCTGTTAGAATAAGTATTTACCTTTCTTTTATAAATAAGCTTCTCATATGAAAATTTACTTAAAAATGTATGGTAGATAGAAGGTCTACTTTTTAATTTTTATCTTGAAATGTTATTTGATAATAAGATATGGAGGATTTTTACTATTTATAGCATTGTGATGTAGATACTACCAGTGAGTGGAGTTAAAAGGAAGTGTAGTTAAGGTTTAATGTTGTTCATCTAAATATTGCTTTCATAAGAATATTACAGAATACTTCCTAATTATATATGCCCTATTATTTCTTTATATACCTATATCACCTCTAATCACCTCTGTAACTCTGAAACAGTTTCCACATTATGGGCGTATACATCTAGTCCAGATAAGGCAACTTTCTCCACTGCTTTAAGGTCCCCTCGAAAATCAGGGGTTAAACATTCTACTAGAATTTTTGAATTCCTGAAAAACAAAGAATGAAAAATGAACTTACTTGTCATATTTCTATTATTGGTGTTCAAATATTTCAGTAATATGATACTAAAATATCACATTATTTTAAAAGTTTTAAGAAATCAAAATTCAGTATTTTTTAAAACAAATAACTTTAAATTGACAAAATAAAGTTAAGTCAAGTTAAACATCTAAAACAATGGAGCTGTGAAAATACTTGATAGTTAATTTTTATTCAAAACATAATATAGGTACAACAACTGCTTTGAACTAGTGCAAGAAATAAAATGAATTCCAAGTCAAGCTGTGGGAATTAAATCTACAATCTTCTAACAAAGATGCAAGCATGTGCTAAAATAATATGCTGGCACCAATGCATAAAGTGAAAAGTAGTAGAAGGTGTTCATGGGAAAGTATAAAGGTGAAATCAGGGACGCCAAAAGCAGCTCCTTGGAAAAAATGGCAAAGCTGAGAGGTCAGAGCTGGAAAATAAATCCGATTATCTTTGGAACGCAGTTACAACAGTTTTTTTCTTTTCCCAAATCCATTAATACTGCGCTAGAACCCTACCATTGAAATATAAACATCCACAAACAATTGGTAGATGTTTCCCACTTGTCTAAATGTGTGGTCCAAAGAAACAGTTTAGTGTTTAATTTTAAAAGGCATCTGGGATAAATTTAAATTAATCAGGAGAACATTCTTACCTATCCATTTAATCTAACTTGTCAGTGATTACACAAGTATGGATGAAAAATCAAAGAGTTCACAGATAGGACTGCCATTTATTATATTTTTGTACACCAAACAGCACAATGGAGTTCAAACTGCTTTTGGCCTCTTACTACTACAACAACGTACATTAAATGCTGAATAATAACAAATAGTAACAAATTAATAACCTACCTTTCCTTCAAATGTAATACAGTTTTTGCAAAGTGTTCTGCTCCACCATCAGGCATATCTAGAAACAATTCAATGCTTTGGTATTTTTACATTCAAGAAAAATACTTACTTTTGCGTAATTCTTTGTGGCTTTGAGTCTAATTACACAAATGTAAAGTAATTGCAAGTTAAAGTTGAGATTCCATCCTTAACTTACCACTTATGTTCAAATCAGGGGTGAGGAACCTCAAGCCTAAGGGCCAAATGGAGCCCTGGAGACTCATGGATCCTCTGTATTGCTGGTACTCCAGCTCCCCTGTCACCCACCCACAGGGCTGCAGCATACAAAATCTACTAGCCTGAGCAGCCCCAAGGCTCTAGTGTGTGAGAGGAATGTGAGGAGTGTCTTTCTGCTTCTCAGACAGGGGCTTCTCACTTTGCTTCTCACTTGTGTGTGGCCCCTGACTGATTTTTCTATGGGTCAGTGGCCCCTGACCCAAAAAAGATTCCCCACCTCTGGCCTAAATCATGCACTATGTATGCTACCATACACTTAGCTATACCCAAAGTAAGTATGGTTAGACAGAATCTGAATCTTAATTCTAAGTTACTCTGCTTATATGAATTTACCTTAGGCCCTTGAACCTTAGCACAGCTCTATATGGTTTTGAGGGGTGCCAATTTTCTACTGACGGGGATGTGTTAAAACCCGCTTCTTTGCCCTGGGTTTGCCCCAGGCTCCACCATCACTCCACCCTTTCCTGTCCAACCCCCACTCCACCCCTTGCACTAAGCCCCTTACTTTGAGCATACCCTGCCCTCGCTCCCACCTCCTTCCCCACAGGAGCTCCTGCATGCCACAGAACAGTTGATCTATGTGCTGGGAGGGAAGTGAAGATATTCACGGAGGGGCTGGCAATAAGTGCTCAACACCCACCATTTTTTCCCGTGGGTGCTACAGTCCCAGAGTACCCACCGAGTTGACACCAATGATTATAGTTTAATTTATTTTTAATCCCGCAGAAATAGTTTAAGAAAAAGAGAAATATTTACAATAAGAAATTGTTTCTGGTCTTTTATTGAAAGCTTCTGTTGGAAGCTAAGCTATTGATCTTTCAATAGAAGACAAGACACTCTTTTTCTGATACGGTCCTTACACCAAGAGAGCAACAGCACAAATGAACCATCACAACCTTTGTGAAAAGGTAACGATATTTTTTAAAAATTAGCCTTCATTTAAATAGACTGAATCAGTTCCAATAGAAACCAACATTAACAAGTTACATAATTGTATATCTTCTGTGTGTATTTCACCAGCATAAGAAATAAAGATTAATCAGGAAGAGCATTTTGTAAGCTCTGCAAAGTTTCTGTGTCATTCATTCCTTTCATCAGTCATATAAAAATTTAAACCATATACCTCTAATAACCCAAATTGACTAAGGACTCTAAAATGTTTGCATAGTGTATATGGTAGCTTACATGGAAAACATTACTGATACCATACTAACCATCTCTGTCCACAGATGTCAATACAACATAATCCAAGCCCCATTCAGCAATAGCTTTTGCTGTATTGTAGGGTTCATTAAGGTCCAATGGAGGTGGATTTTTTGCTGTCTTTACTGAACAAAATCTGCAACCTCTTGTACATGTGTCACCCATCAACTGAAATAAGAAAAGATTGTTAACTTTATATTTTTAAACTTTGTATTATTCAGTCAAGAAACTACTGAATGTGCTATTTCAAAGACTCTCTTGTTGAAAACCAAAGAAGAGAGAAATTTGTTGTGCACTTTAACATAATATACTTATGTCACTATGCTGGAGATTTTTGTTTACCCAAATTTTCTAACAATAGAACATATTTCCTACTGTAAAAAGTGGTTTGACTTACCATTATAGTGGCAGTGGCAGTAGCATACTCACCCCCTCCCCAGCACTCTCCAATGTTGGGACAACGTGCTTCCTCGCACACCTATAATTAAAATGTCATTAATAATAATAAATGACATTTCTATAACACCTTCCATCAATGAAATTTAGTCTCGCTTCTGAGACAGGTAATGAAATTATGATGAGGAAACTAAATCATAGACAGTTTAAGTGAGATGCTCCAGTCAGTGGCAGAGCTGGGAAGAGAACATACTTCACTTGACTCCACTCTTATGTCTTACCCATAATACCATTTGTCCTCTAAATTATACAATTCCCTGAATTCTGTTCATAAAAATGACTCTCAGTATTCACACTCTAAACTGAATCAATTATGCACATTTTAGATCTAATAAAAAGTTCATAAAAATTCACAAGATCTACAATAAATTAAAGAACAATCTTATCCATATAAGCCACAAAATGTATAAGTAATGCACAAACTCTCTGCTGCTCCTGTACAATGGTGCAAATTTCACACCATGAAAACAATGCTTTCTTCCTAGAGGAAAACTTATCAGGCATTAGACTTACTGTATGAAGATTTAAACTTCTTAGTGTATTCTTCAGTTTATTATAGTTCTTTCCTATGGGAATCTCAGTTTTTAGCCATGGAGGAAGTCGCAGCCTAAATGATATCAAGCAAATGTAAGTATTAATAAATTTCCTACATGTAATCATTTAACTCCATAGATCTACTTTACTTTTTGTTACAGTTGCTGGGTATAAGAGATTATTTGAAGCTGATCATGACTCACAAATGAGTTTAATGTTTTGTTAAAAGTACCATATTTCTTAGTTCCACACTCATTTTATTAGCCTGATCATCAACTCTGCTGCCATGCTATATATGGCAATTCAGACTTTGGCAATAAAATTACATAGCTATTAAAAACTCTGAATAACTACAGCTTTTGAATTTAATCTTCATGAATCTGTCTACATACAGAAACAAACACAACAATATATCAAAAACAAAAATTGGGCATTTTATCCCTCTGATACATATTTATAACATGCTACTGTTCATGGCACAGACACTCCAATGCCTTCAAGATATGTTGGTGGCTATTTCACCAGAGGAATCATAGCTACTACTAGAATACTATTTAAATTGCATTTTTCAAAGTACATAACCAATACACTATTGACAGCTAAAATCTTTTGGACAGTGCCATGGAGTGGGACATATTCTGCCCTTTCTTACACTGGTGTAACTTCCCTGACCCTTATAGAGTTTCACGGGTGTAAATGGAAGCAAACTTTGCCTATGTAATCTTCTTTACAATATTGGGGGCCTAGGTTTAATTGCAGAATCTTTATTGTTGGAGACGCATGAACCAGAAAGAACCCAGCTTGTCTTTAAGATTTCAGACTGACTTTGTGTAGCTGGAAGTCCCTAAAAATAATCTATTTAACTTGAAAAATGGACATATTTGATCTCGAAATATTTGACACACTAAACATAGTGTTCCAAAATGTCATTTTTATCATAACTCTTTCAGATTAGAACTAAATTTTATAGAATAACACAGATTGTCATAATAATACATGGGTTTGTATAAAAGATGGATGCCTATAATTCCATAATGTATTATTTAGTGCACTAAAGCAATTAGCAGCTAATATGAACACGTCCCAACACAAGGACTACAGATACTACATTAAATTAGGGCAAAACTTATACCAGGGCTGATTATATTACTTCTGAATGAGACTTTATGTTACTACTGACTTTACACAGAGTGGTTGTTACTGAACACTACTAAATTACTTATTAATAAACCACATACAACTGTGGTGCAAATTCCTTTTTACCATGAATACATTCAGGAATAGGTTAAAAAAAAATCAAACTTGCCAAAATCATAAGTGATTTATTTAGATCTGTGAACCTTCAGTATTATTTTATTCATCAAGTAAGTGATTCCTTCCCCAGCTATAATTAAAACAGAGCTATGTAGGTGGTATTTTAGGTATTAGGGTTTTTTACTTGTATTTATAACAGTTAATCTTATCAATTGTGTTAAAATTACTATTAGCTGTCTTATCTACACGTGTTGTGCTTAAAGAGGTCATATAAGAACTAATACTTTCCCCTCTTCAAATGACCGTTCCTTCTAAAATGAAGTATGAAGTAGCCATTCCGGTACTACACAAATTGATAAAAACAATATGGTACATGAAGGTATTTGTATACTGTAGAGTACCCAGAAATATCAAGTACAGTAAACTTCCGATAATCCGGCACCTTTGGGACCCAGGGGGTGCCGGATTATCAGATATGCCGGACTATCGGAAGTGGGGGCTATGAGGGCTCTAGGGTGGTGTGGGGGGGATATCACTCCAAACCCCTCATAGCACCCCCTTCCGATAGTCCGGCTCTGCCCCAGGCATCCCCGATTCAGCCGCTGCTGGTCAGCAACTGAACCTCAGTTGCTCTTGGGGACACCTGGGGCAGAGCAGCTGGGGTGCTGCCGGGTTGGTCCCACAGCGCCAAGGGGCGGCACTACCGGACCAACCGGGCAGCACCCCAGCTGTTAAATTAGTTAAGACCCACAATGAGCTCAATGTTGTATAGTCAATAAAATCATTCTTGCCCCCAAAGAGTTTACAGTCTAAAGACAGAGGAAATAAGCTCTGCCCCAGGCTTCCTGGAATCGGCCGCTCGTCAGTTTCAGCAGCGGCTAACTTGGTGACACCTGGGGTAGAGCAGCTGGGGTGCTGCCGGGTTGGTCCCTGCAGCGCTGAGGTGCGGCGCTGCGGGGACCTACCCTGCAGTGCCCCAGCTGCTCTGTCCCAGCCGTCCAGATTCAGCCACTGGTCAGTTTCAGCAGCGGCTGAATCGGGGAAGCCGGGGGCAGAGCAGCTCCAGTGGTCTGGTTGCCCAGAGTACTTCCGGGTTCCTGATGGTGCCAGACCATCAGGAGTGCCGGACCATCAGATGCCGGACCAATGGAGTTTTACTGTAGTAAACAAAGTATGATACTACATCAGAGTAGAGTATAATTACTTAAAACTATAATTACCTTTCTCCCTTCTGGCGTTTCAGATTGCCTTTATACTCAGCCCACATGCTCTTGTCTGAAAAATCCCCAGATACAAAGTCTTGCAAATCAGGTCCATCTTGCAGAAATTCCTTCTTTTCATCTGGCAAAGAACCTGATGCTCTGTACTGGCTGCACCCATGGCTTCCACATACCTAAACAAAGCAGAACTGTATTATCTATTTAATTATAAATGTGCTATATGTATTGGATATATGCTGGTGTACATCTCTTGAGAGGTGAAAGGACTTATTTTAGCTTCATACAGAAGCTAAAAAGTTAACAATTTACTTGAAGCATGTAAATAAATAACAGGAAAGACTTCAAAAACAACAATAGACTAGTAGCACCTTACAGACTAATAAAACATGTAGATGGTATCATGAGCTTTCGTGGGCACAGCTCACTTCTTCAGAAGACAGGAGTGTTAAAAGTCCAGATCCAAGAATAAATAAGGGAAGGCGGAGGGGGGGAAGAGAAGGAAAAGGAGGGGAGGAAGAAAAAAGAGAGACAGTGAGTAGATAAGCTTCAGAGCGGTAGCCGAGTTAGTCTGTACAGTAAAAACTTAAAAAACAACAAATAGTCTAGTAGCACCTTAAAGACTAACTAGTTGTACCTACTTGTACAACACTCCTGTCATCTGAAGAAGTGGGCCATGCCCACGAAAGCTCATGATACCATCTACATGTTTGTTAGTCTGTAAGGTGCTACTAGTCTATTGTTTTTTTTAAGTCTTTCCTGTTACAGACTAGACTCAGCAATCCCTCTGAAGTAAATAACAGTTCATGATGGGCAGGCACTGGAGGAAGAGCAAGCTGTCCATCCTAAAATTTAAGATAATAAATTATTACTGCCTAATTATTTAGAACTACTGTGGAAGATTTATTTTCACAATTTAAATCTAAGTTCCATCTTTGGAAGTTTGTGCTCAGCTCTCCTCGATTTAAATGGGAGCTACGAGCACATACCCGATAGCAGAACTTTTGCTCATTTTCGAGTACAATCATTTGAAAATCCAGAACAGGCAATAGGAACTCCAATCAGCAGATGGAGACTGGAAAATAACATTTCCTGGTCTCATTCCCTATAAAGGATGCAGCAAAGCCCTTAAGTTTCAAGAAGTGAAAATCAAAACAAGGGAAGAAGCTGAACATGTAAATGTGAACAAAGCAATAAGCAATAAAGTGGTGTCTCTGTCAGCACTGCTTCCTGCAGCTCCCATTGGCCAGCAATGGCAATCTGCGGCCAAGAGGAGCTGCGAGTAGTCGTATCTGCAGACACACAAGTAAATATAGTGCCGATGATCCACCTGGCAAACAGTACGCACGCCATAAGCTACTTATTGCCCAGCTCCGTGCGGCACTACTTGGTATTCAAAGGGGCAGCGCTGCATGGACTCTGGGGTCAGCTCCATGCGGTGCTGCTTTGAAACACTGAGGTGACATTTCAAAGGGGTAGTGCCACATAGCTGAGCCTGGGATCAGCTGTGCAGCGCTGCCCCTTTGAAACATCACCGGAGCGTTTGTGTAGAGCCCAGGGTCAGCTGGAGACTCCCCAGTTGACCTGGGCTCTGAGTGGCATTTCAAAGTGGCAGCACAGCATGGAGCTCAGAGTCAGCAGGGGACTCTGAGTCCCTCCTTATCCCAGGCTCCATGAGGATGCTTCCGTTTTGAAATGCACAAAACCGCTGGTGGGGACTCTTGTACATTTCAAGCTGGCACCTGCATGCAGCCTGGAGTCAGCGGGACTTCCTGCTGGTCCTGGGGCTGCATGTGGAGTTCCGCATTCCCAAAATGTAAATCAACTACTCAACTAATAAATTACTTAATATTTAACATCGTTACTCCTCCTGGCATCTCAAAGCAGAGTTCAGCTGCAGGCATAGCGTGGGAGAGACCTGCCATTACTGCTACTCTTCCCTCTCCACAACTGAGCTCTCACACACCACGGAGGATGCAGAAGAAACACAAAGCAGCAGTGTCGCAGTCAAAATTCTTCTTCTCAGCTCCCTGTAACTTGAACAATCGAATTCCCATTTTTTTTCTTTTTACCCCTCCCTTATTCAATCTGGGATCTGGGCTGTTAATGCTCCACTCATCTGGAGAAATGGGTTGTGCCTATGAAAGCTCATTATACTATATATTTGGTTAATCTCTGTGGTGGAGTCAGAGAGTTGCAAGGTACTATTTTATTTTACTTTCATCTACTCAAACATTACTGTCTACGACACAATGCCAAATATAAAGTAGTATTTTTTTCCTGTTAAGTACTTTACAACCTGTATCATGGTCCAGCATCTTTAAAAAATAAATACAAATATCACAAATGATTCTTAATCTGTAAACTTTTGGAAAATGCCTTTAATTATGGCCACATCTCAGTGAAGTATTTCTTACCATTATTCAAAGACTTGAAATTTCCTATAAACCTTACATATTCATATGTAGGTGGTTCTTTTGGGTCTATTGTTCCTCGCAGCATATGGCAACAAAATTCTAGTTGATTTTTTGCTGAAACAATATAATGAAAAGGCGGTTTATGTGAGAAAGCATGCATCAGAGATTTTAGATAAAAGCAACCTGAAGAGCCGTCCCGATCGATTTGTTCGGAACTCACCGGATCTGCCTGCCCCCATGCCCTTTTTGCGCGGGCCTTGATGCGCTCGGCGGTCGATCGCTTCTCCCTCCGAGACCGAGTGCCGGGCTGGACCC